ATATATATATATATATATATATATATATATATATATATGTGCGTGTGTGTATGTATACAGACTGCAACAAATATAAACTTTCCCACGGTAAGCAAATAACAAGCTTGTCATTATATGAACCTATACAACACAGATTATGTCAGCAACATTGTAATAATATTACAATGTTCCAGTAATATTACAATAACATTGCAAACGTTGCAGCAATGTTATTGTACGTTTCTGCTGTATGGGAAGCATGAACATTCGTATATTTTATATTTGTATCATTTTTCATATCTAGATATCACCTATCACCTATCAATCTAGGGCCGGCTTCACCGATCGTTGCACCTATATGATTTTTCGCATGTAAATATCATTTTAGGCCGGGCTTCACCGATCTAGTTTCATATCGCACGATCTTTCTCATAATTTTGGCAATTGATTTAAGCCGAGTTCCACAAAGTGCGCGTTCGATAATTTGGTATTCGATCGGATTTGAAGGGTCTATTTGAAACAGGAATCTTCATATAATCAAAGTCTGGTAACGAGAATCGATCGCATTGTTCCGCGATATGCAATGATAACGCAATAGCAGAGGCAAGTGCTGGAAGTGATCTCAATTAACTCTAATTGTAAAGCGTATCAAACGTATCAAAAACTTTATTTTTGAACTACGAAATGATATAACAATTTTTTTTCATAATCTTTTGTCTCTTAGCAGATTGTACACTTACTAACTGTCCGTTTTCTCGCCTCTCCAAGATCGTTTTCACCATCGGTTGACGCACTTTTGCGCTTTCCGTCGTCGGAAGTTTTCCTTCTTCATTAAGGGAGAAGTGTCCCTTTTCTGCGTCACCAGCCAACGCAGTTTTCTTACTTCCTGGCCCCTTATTCTTACTTAGAAACGCCGTATCTGCCTCATCTCCCTGCCGCTCTATCTCCCTCCTCTTCCTTTCTATCTCCACGAGCAACTAGGTTTTCCTCGTTTTCCTGTCGATCGAAGCGATCATGTTCATCTCGCTCAAGTCTTTTGGCCGGTTTCCTCGATATCTCTATCGTAACGTTCTTCTCTTCGACTCGATCCAATCGATTGATCTTTTCTACACTGTTATCCGGCGATCGCGTCTCGCGTTCTTCCCCGCGACGATGTTGATAAGGATTCTTTCCGGGATTTCTGTGCACTTTTCTCCTTCTCCTCATCCTCCTCTGTCATCGCGTTCTCTGTATCTCTGCTTCTTCTTCTTTTCTAGCCGCGATCTACGATCTGTTCGTTTCTTCTTGCACATCACGTTGAGCCGAGTAGCGATCTTGCTGGTTCTTATCTTCGACCTCGCCGACTTCGGGCTGATGCGGATTATTGTCACGTTTCTCGCGTATTCTTTCTGCCACCTTGTCGGTATTTCTTGTACCATCGTCACTACGTGCTCCACCTGCCGACGTTTCTGTTTTTCCGCGCCAAAGTGAACGAACGACTGCTTCCATCCGCTTCCGATAGATCTTCAGCGATGATTCCGTCAAGCGTATAGTTTCGATGTTAGATCCTATCGGGCGTCCGATTCTTTTCGAATCGACTTCTCTTAAAGTGTCTGGGACATTACGTTAACGGTTGTCGCATGCTTTTATCGAAGTACTCGGGTTTATCTTCATCTGGATAGTAATGTGATTCTTGTAACGATTCTTTAAAATTATGTGCGTCATCTTGACTATTTGTAATTAATCATACTCTCACAATCACTCTGTATCGTTACAATTGTGAATTTCTATAAAGTTCATTTTTTGCGGAGCACTCTTGCTGGAATAATAAACTTTGTGTTCAACATCAGTGAAAACGACAGAATATTCAACTTTAATGTCCTACGAAAAAATAATAAATAAGTCAATGCGATTGCAAAGTAAATCTACCTGCAAAATGTGTAGTTCAATTGGAAATTACATGTAACAGAAATCATTTCTTTGACAGTCAGTATTTGGTTTCGCCGCAACAATATTTTTTTCTAAAATAAATTGTAATGAAATGAGTATCATTCTTGCTTTTGAGGAGGATATACAAAACTATTAAATCTTTCTCGTTAGAGTATTATGTTAATAACTCGTATTTTATATCGCGCAGTGCCGAGTTTCATCGTTGATAATACTGTCGCAGAATTTGCAGATTTTTAAATGGGATCGTGTTTCACATGTTCTTTCTCCCCCCCATTCGCGAATAAAATTACTCACGAGATTTAGGAGAGTCTTTGTCTGAATATGCGCCGGCGGTTCTGCAATATTACAAGATATTTTATGCAATGCGAAAAGCATCGTGCGAAAAATGCTATCTCTCTCGTGAATTAGCGAGCATAGCAATAAAAATAACTAAAGAGATAGTTGCTTGCGTAAATCGCAGTGTTTATATAATTTATGAGGTAGCGAAATAATTCTATCTACCGTAATATTGTATTTGCAAGATTTATTCAGCGTGTAAAATTGGTACTTGCCTAATTATTTAAATCTGCTACGTAATTTACGAGGCAGATGTTTATGTTATGTTTATGGTCCATTGCAAATAACTTTTATACAAGTAAATGATCATTTATAAGAATTTAATCTCTTTTTAGGAACATATTAAAACTTTTTAAATTCTTTCTAAATATTCCTAATGAAAAAAAAATAATATTTGCAGTGATATTTTTAATTAAAAAAGACTTTTTCTCTTTTGCTATGGATTTAAATTGAAAAAAAGTAACTAAACAAAAAGTGAAATTATTTTTTCTGATTTAAAAAATATGTTTTTGAAAAAATTAATGAATAAATGAAAAAAATTGATTACAACATACTTTTCAATTTTTAGCTTTGCAGTTAAAAATTGTAAAGACGGTGAGTGAAAACAAAGATATTAAACTCAATGTTACAAATTTTTTTTATGTTAATAATTAATTCGCGTTATATTTTATCCTTGATAAGATGCAATAATTATCTATTTTATACAGATGCGGATTTCAAGAAAAATTACCTAAAAAATTGGAATCCAAAAGTCTGTATGATTGAGAAGTATTAAAAAGTAAAAAGATTCGCGAAGGAACACAAAATTATGATAGTGATCAAATACAAATCTTTTTCAGTCCTTAACTGATAGTATAAAATTTAAAAAACATCTAAAAATTGTGTTGAATATTTTGAGTTTTGTGATTGAAGAAAGAAATACAAAGCATTCTAGTACTAATTTCTTTAGCTACATTGTTTTTTTTTTTAATCTATAGGAATAATGGGAATAATTAATAATAAATTAAAAAAAGGAACGCGTAGATTTATATAAATAAAAATGATCATGTAATTAAAATAATTCTCAAACAATTAATTGTAACGAATGTTTTGTGGATACATTTTTTTTCGCGCTAGTATAATAACATATACAACACATTTCGCGCATTGTATGTGTGATCTTATGTTTTACGTGTCGTGTATATGTCAGTATGTATGAATGTATTTATATGTATGTCAGTATGTATAAATGTATTTATATATTTATGTATGTGTTGTATGTGTATGTGTGTGTGCTTAAAACACATACGTAAAACATATTCCCAAATTCCGGGAATATTCCTCGACGAATATCTTAAGTACTAAGCGAAGTAAAGTAACGAAAGGATAATGTCGTATAATTTTGATCAATAAATTAAGTTAGATCGATCAGAGTGTAGAGTTAGAAAAAGGATAGAGAGGGAGATAATAAATAGAGTCTTCTCATTGTATCTTAAACAGCTTAGCGAGCGTTCCTCGTTCTAGAGGCGACGATTCTCCGCCCTAAATTAAACTTTCAGAGGACGAGCGTTGTGTTTCGATGATTCTGCAGCCCAATTTCGAGACAAACATGTTTCCCGGGAGCGCTCGGTGAACTGCTTGAGATTTAAGAACGCGAAATAACGATACCACCGAGCACCGTCGTCGACGTCGGCGTATGACGTCGAGCGTCGCGACGCGAGCTCGTGCGCAGTTCTCCGCGGAAGTCGCCAGCACGGGGCACAACAAAAAATACGATGAGGTACAACAAAGGCGATAAGAAGAAACACTCGTTGAAGTATACGATGCGTGTGATAAATAATAGCGTGTACACACGGTGATCGGAGAGACGCGAGACCTGAAAGCGGGTCCTGAAGGGCCGTCTGACTATCTGCGCGACTTATTTACAATGCCCTCCTTAGAGACTACTCTGGCGATTGCGCGATCGATCTCTCGTTCCCTGATACCGAGCTGCCGTCGGGCAGACCGTCGAGTAATCGTCGAGACGTAGAAATTACGTTGATGCTACTCGGTGACGCCGCGGTGATCACGAAGCGATATTCATGTGACGCGCGCTCCATCGATCGCGATGATTGGTAAAAAAGCTGATTCCGACCGCGAACGATCGGTAGAACACGCATCAGTGGCTCCTCTTTCCCGTTTACCTTCCTCTCCTCTCCATTCCGCTATTTCCTCGTCAAATCGCCCGTGCTTCCGGGTCTCTTATTTACATACTCTACTCGAAGATCCCTCTCGTCTTCCTCATTCAATCGAATTCATACCCTCTCAATACCGATCTAGTTATTGTCTCCCTCGATTCGACGAGAAGCGGATTGACGCGACTAGATTAGACGCGAAGCTATCGGCTACCTAGATGGAAAAGGAGAAAGAGAGAGAAGAGAAACGCGGTTGCAACTTTCGACGAGGAGAATCTCCGACGTTTGGTCACGTGTCTTTAGTTCCGTTTCGGATGAAATAGCTGGTCCCGAAGCATTGCCCGTCGTCGAGGTCGACGATCCTCCGGAGGGGGATCTCTTCTTTCTCTTCTGCGGCAAGTTTTTTTGATTTTGCGCACCGTATATGCCTCTTCAGTTGGCGACTTTCACGAACTCCGGGTTCGGCATGCTACAATTCTCAGTTGCGTACGCCGGATGGACGAAGCCGTTCCCGCCTATCGCAGCGTTCTTGCGGTCCACGGCGCGCACCCTGACGAAGAGGAAGGCTGCGACGAGAGAAGCCACCACAACGACCAGCAACAGCATCACCAGACCGCCCACGAAACCCGGTAGGCTCATGCAAATCGTCTCTGGATCGGTAGATGCAGCGTTCTGTATGACCACGGTGGTATCATTGCTAGAGTTTGTTGTACCCAGCGCAAAGTTGACGTCGCCCGGTGCGACCACTTGGATGACCCTCGAAGTGTTCACATCCGTCATCTCCTGTGCCGCTCGTTTGTACACATGGGTGGAGAATAGGGTCACCGTGTGATAGATGTTCTGAAAATCGAGGGTAACCGTTGTAATGCAGAAGAATTCGCGTCATAGTAGGATACCGAACGGTACCGCAAAACGCGTCATTGATAATGTATTTGCGAGCTACATTGCATAAATTGAAAAAGAAAGATGACAGTTCACATTAATAACTTGGCAAATGTCTCTTGTCTTGGAAAGCAATCGGTGTTGCGTATATTTTTTTAAAGCATCTTTCAAATCTTATTAATTCACTCACGTAAATGCTATTTTTAAAATGAACTCTTCACGTCCTTGAATCGCTTTTATTATTACATATTAGTGTAGGAAATAGAGTTTAAAACACTTACGCTTTCATCATCTTCGTGCGGCTCGTCATGCCTTCGCCTCCTAGCGCCTCTGAGCTCAGCCGGAAAACCTTCAACCGACCTTGGCCGACCTCCAAGGACGACTAGATTACCTTCAAGCTCGTCTGTGCCAACGGTTCCTTTTCGCTTTGATACAGTTTGATATGGCGCTCGATGGCCGGGCAGAGGAGGCGGAGGGAGATGGATATTATCTTGGGGACTTTGGGGTGAGCTACTCGCCGTAGCGTCACCCGGCGTCGAGCTGGGTGAAGAGGACGAGGTCTGTGCTTGCGGTGCCGGAACGACGTCCGGATTCAGTTCACTAGAAACAAAAATTAATTTATATTTTGTGCTTTAGAACAATTCATAGTCTTACTATACCATTTAATAAACACATTCTCTGAATCTATACTCTCGTAGAAGACATTCAGAAAATATCTAGTGAAATATGCATGGAAGTCAAAGAAAATCCTAAGAATATATTGAATCATACATTTTTAACGATTCGTATCTATATTGTTCCTTATAATGAACGTATTATTTTCAGTACTCTCGCAGAAGATATTCAGAAAATATTTCAATAAAAGATGGAAGTTATGAAGAAAATTCTGAGAATACTTTAAATTATATATCTTCAAATAAAATAAGATATCCTCTTTAGAGGAATGTAATTTCCATCAAAAGAAATCTTAATAGATCCAACTGATTTCTTTTTTTTTTTTTTGCGAGATTTTAATTGACCGCTTCGTAGAAAAACTTTCTTCAATAACTACACGTTAATGCTCATCCGCTTTCTCACCTGTACGATCCGGTCGGTCCGCTGGGATGTCGCGGATCAGGATATGGTGCCGGTGGTACGACGTATTCGGGCACAGGGGTACCGTACTCCGAAGAAAGACCTTGCGAGACCGGTGTGCCATATCCGTGAGTAATGCCGCCGGCAGGTGTGTCGTACTCAAGACCAGGATGTCCACACTTGGGCTCGGGGCAATTGTACCGGCAGACTTGAATTACGCACTGGAAATGGACGTTCATGCTGTCGGGGAATTTAAAGGCTTGGAAATAGGCGAAGCTAACAACTGACGCACTCGGGCCGAAGTTCTTGATCTTCTGGAACCTGCGGAAGAAATGTAACTTCGTATTCTTCTCCTTTGAAGAATATATAAACGATCGTCAGAGATATAATATATCATTGTAATATTAGGACTCACCTGGACATGATCTTCGGCCTGACTACGCAACCGTACTGATCGACCAATTGAATCGGTGCCCTCTTGCCATCGTGAGCGACGCAATTTCTCACCAGCATGTCGAACTTGTTCTCGTCATCCTTGATAGCCAGTACCATCGTCATGGTCTGACCGATTTTGACGATGCCGGACACCTCGCTGGCCCAAGGACCTTTACCGACTTGTATCTGCATCCAACACTGCAGGTTGTCGCCGAGGAAGTTGGCGGTGACGGCGTGTAGCATGTCAACCTGGAATGGCCTGAAGGTGACCGCCTTCTCGTAAAAGTCGTACCAAGTACAACGCAGCTTCCTCGCTTGATCCCACACTTCCTGCACGTACGGATCGTATTGCACGATAATAGTATTCTCCACGTAGCTACCGGATGGCGTCGGGGCGCCATAAGCAGCGACGTTGTGATTCGCCGACGAGCTCATGCCGCATGAATTGAGGAAGATCTCGAAGGTTGCGCTCAAGTGGCCGGTACCGGGCTTCAAATGAACGCAGTGCGGATCCGAGTAGAAGCCCTTACTAAAGATCATACCGTAGAACGGCCGATCGAACTCGATATTTACTCGCATGTGCGTTTTCTCGCATTGCACCTGCAGATGCTTGATCTGTGGAGTATCAGGCGACGCCAGTGGCCAATTTTCCTCGTGAGCTACTGGTGGGCCATATTGAGCTGGAGCTCCATAGACGGATCTGTGTTCCAGAGGCAACGCACTGCTGTCAACCAACGGTGCTTCACTTCGTACACTCTAATATAACAGAAGCAAACAAAACCTATATATAGATATAAAAAAGTAAGTGTAAATATAAGAATTAAAATATGAGAGCGATGCGATTAATAATAAAACATGAAGAAGCAATTATCTTCTTGGTAAACTTCACACTGAGATACAAATATGGCTGCTTGAATGAAACTTTTTCAATTTGCGTATTAAGTACAGCATTGCATGAATACAATGTGTCACAACTTTGAAGACTTTTCGGTTGCGTTGCAATGACGGAACGGTGATTTACATCGTGCCCTTTTCAAGACCTTGCACGTACACGTTTCGAAACTGTCTTGTAGTTCTTATAATGGAGATTCCATTAAAGTTTTAACAGAATCGTGCAACACATTATCGTGACAAAAAGTAATAATTCACCATCTTTCTCCGTCATCTCGACTCCTTTCTTTCTACGCCCCAACAAATACTTTTGCTGGATATATTTCGGTCTTTCTGGAGTTACAATCAATAACGCGAGTACACCTCCCTTTTTTTTTATGTGCACTCTCTTGTCATCGCATTCTTCATTCCGTTTAATCGCGTAGCGAGCATTATAAAATAAAATTACGGAAAGAACGTTTTTGCTAAAGTATCTAAAAAGTTATATGTGTGAAAATAATTTTGTTGGACTATCAAATAATTATGTAGAATGTTTAAGCTGCTAATTGCTAGAATATCAAAACTTTTTGCAGTATTGCTTATTATGCATCCTACATAATTATTTTAATCTAAACAATTATTTTCTGACCTGTATCTAGCTACTAAATTTTTAGATACTTTAGCAAAATTGCTCTTTCCATGTAGATATAAAAATGTGAAGCAGTATTAAAAATTCCACGAATGTCGCCGATTGTCACAATCTTTTACATAATACCAATCGAACACAATTTACAACTCTTGAAATTCCGTAGAATCTCGTGGAGGAACTTCCTTGAGAAAAGCTTTCCGAATTCTACCTCCTTAAAGTTCACCGTATTGAAGTCGAGAGAACGTTTGAGAAAAAAATGAACCTTTCACATTTTTCTTTTTCCTTTTTCTTATACGGTTTATTTCTTCGCAGGCTAAGCTAGTACAAGATAAAGATAAATTCTAGCAAGCTTTTTGATTAATAAAAAGATTATTTTGTAAAATATATTGAAAGAATTAACATTAATCGCACTGCAAACATTGTAACATAATATTAAGATATTCTAAATTACGGCTTGTCCTTTTGTGATTTTATGATTTAGCACATACTACGTAATAAGATCTAAGCTAATTTATAAATTAAAAATCAGTGAAAAGAAATTTTTTATTTATGACTGGGCAAGTCATAAACTTAAGATTAGAATGTCTTAATTTTATTTTATAACGTTCGCAGTGCGATTGATTGATCCAATCTATAAAATAATCTATTATATAATATTCTATAAAATAATCTTTCCATTAAAAGTAAGTTACAATACGCTGATTTAATTTATTTCGCGTGGAATATGAATCGTTGTACGACAAGCACGTATGTTAATAATGCTTGAAAATATGCTGACAAAAAAACGTGACTGAAAATGCGTGTACTGTTAGCCAAAGAAACATTTGTCGAGGGGAATCGAATATGAGCTCGCAAAAGGTAGGACGACGAGCCGGCCGACTCCCTCGGGCAATTTTGTATTCTGATTTGGCAGAATTGCAGGAGGATAATTATGCGAATCTGCGTACCGAGACCAATGTCTTCACTTCCGCCAGGAGATCGTTCTAAATACAATTTTACTTGCAGCACAGTGCACTTATCGTATCCTTTCATGCTTTCCCCAATTTGACACGCAACTCTAAACACATTGCTTCATCATTAACTTAATATCTATGTTAATATCGGGTACATTTTACATTTGATTCCGTGACACGAATCTCGTGTGAATGATTGAGTAGACGTACAATTATCGTTTTTATTGCAATTAAAGTAATGTAAAAACAATAATTGTAAATTCGTAAACAAATCTCAGATGCATTTGCGTGCTAACAAGATATCATGTTTTATTATAGCACAAGAAGAAAATAAAGAGTTACGCGGAAACTGCAGTATATTTAGAGATAACTGTATTAAAATTAGACCTCGTCATATACCAATTGCAACAATTTCCATTATGAGGTAATTACGGAAACCAAATGTTCACGTTTACGCATACATGGTCATAAATTAGGTCACATAAATCTTATAGCAGTGATGCAGTCGTTAATTTCTAAACAGTGCACCATTGATTTGTATCTGTTATTAACATAAATTAATTGATTATTAATTTATATATTTACTAATAGTTATAACATTGATTATGAAGTTATTAATATAAATTAATTAATATTAATGATAAATCGAATATCTATTATTTCTTATAAATAATAAGCCATCACAGTTTAAAAAATATTTAAGACGGAAAATTGCAGAGCTTCACTTAAAAAAAAAGTGATCTTGCAGTTATAGCGAAAATTATCTAAGTACGAAAAATTAGCTAAAATATACAAATTTCTAGCAAGTACTATGATATTGGATATGCATCTTATCATACACATGACAGAGATTTGTGCTGTAAATTCTATACGTATGATATATAATTTTCTATCAGATACGAAAAAAACAGCATATATTCTAGCTGGAGCAGCAAGATATTTTTTTGCGTGTTCTATATATAAGAATATATTGCTCTGAAGCTTATACTCTTATACTCTTAAGCCTGACCTAAAGAAATCGCTATTAAATTGTTTGAAGCATTCAATCTCGAAATGGAAAAATTCAATTTTCTTCATATCTTGGTCTCTTACTTATCTCGATAATACGGTCATGATTTCTTGAAAAAACCAAGGCAGTTACTCGCGTACTGTAATTTAGAAAACGCTGAAAGGGAAGGATGTAAACGGAAGGCATCGTGTCGTGCGTTAATCGTTGGACGGTACCAACACCGTGACAGACGGATGACAGTAGTGATTCACAATCATCGCTTTATGGCGGTTTGTAAGCTGGGCAGGTCGATGGTGTACGCATACCTGTCCGCTTTCTTGTTCTACTTGCACCTGCGCCTGATCAGGTTCATGGACTTTCTGAATAGAAAAGAACGGCGCGGAACCGGTATAATCGAAATCACGATCCGCTACGATCGTATGAAGTTAAGTGAGCGCGATCTTCTCTTTCTGCCGGTCCGCCGAATTTCCAGCACGAACGTGTCTTAATCAAGCATATGTTGAGGCGAGCCAATTAGTCCGTGAATATCTTCATGAATAAAAAATCTG